ATTGTCCTTTGGGTTAGCACCCAAGTGTCTTAACCACTATACCACCAGAGCTCCTTAGGGCATAATGAGTGCTTTGTAAATAGTAGGTATCTGAGACACGGAACCTGGCAGACTCTCCCTGTGTTTTGGTTTCCTGAAGCATGAGACTGATGGTACCTTTCTATAAAATGAACTTTGGAATATTGCATTTTTTTCCAGTTAGAAGATCAGTCTCATTTTATTCAACTTTAATATTTTTAACATTATTTTTTGCTTTGATTCATGATGTCAGATTACATGTGCAGTTTTAATTTTGTAAATTTAAAAGCAAAAGGTGCATTTTGTCTTTATTTGCATTTAGCTATCCAATACTTACTAACTCACTGCTGTTGAGTCAGATCTGACTCATTGTGACCCCTGGTTGGGTTTCCAAAGCAGTATCACTAGAGAAATATATTGTCCCATCTTCTTTCTGAGGAGTGGCTAGTGGGTTTGAACCACCAGCCTTCTGGTTAGCAGTCAAGTAAGGCACTACACCACCAGAGCTCCTTTATCTATCCAATGTTGTTGTTGTTGTTATGTGCCCTCCAGTCAGATATGACTCATAGCGACCCCTCCTTGGGTTTCCGAGGCAGTATCACTACGGAAGTAGATTGCCCAACCTTCCTTCTGAGGAGTGGCTGGTGGGTTTGAACTGCCAGTCTTCTGGTTAGCTAGCAGTCAAGTACCTTAGGCACTACACTACCTGAGCTCCTTATCTATCCAATAAGGAGTCCAAATATATTTCCTGTGCTTATTGGTCACTCACATTTCTTTTCTCTGACTGTTTTTTTCATATCTTTTGCCCATATCTCTGTTGAGTAATTTTTTCCTTATCAATTTACAAAAAGTTTATGGAAATTAAGAGAATTTATGCTTTGTTATGTGAATTGCATATTTTCTTCTATAGACATGGAAGATGTCTATGTCTTTTAACTTTATTTATTTTGTTATACAAAACGTTGTCACTTTTGTGTGGAGATTTTAAGAAAACAATAAAATTTTGGGCTTGGGGAATACTGACAAAGATCCTCCCCATTTTAGGAATTTTTAAAAATACCTAAACATCCAGTTTTTTAAAAATACCTAAACATCAAAATGTTTTGAGCATTTCTACTTAAATCTTTAATCCATCTAAGATGCATTTTTCTGTAATGAATGGGTTAAGTATTCTAGTTTATCATATTTCAAGTGATCAGCTTATTACTTCATTATTACTTAAAGAAAGTTATACCACTCACTTGAAACAAAACCTTAAGTTCTTATCAAATTCCCCTCCATACCAGAGGTCTCTTCCTGGACTCTTTATTCTGTTTAATTTTTTTGTTTACCTATTTATTATATCATTACTATATTATTTTAAATATTACAGTATTATATTTCAGTAAACAAAAGATTCACACTCTATCATGACTCTTCATTTGTTCAATTTTATGGTTATTTTCACACGTTTATTTTTTCAGGTAAGCTTCAGTATCATTTTGTTACACTTCAAATATATACAGTTAGTATTTTAGTTGGGAATAACTTAATTCATGTATTGATATAACAAGAATGTTGTTGTTGTTGTGTACCATCGAGTCGGACCTGACTCAGAACAACCCCTCCTTGGGTTTCTGAGGCAGTATCACTAAGGAAGTAGACTGCCCAACCTTCCTTCCGAGGAGTGGCTGGTGGGTTTGAACCACCAGCCTTCTGGTTAGCAGTCAAATGCCTTAGGCACTACACTACCAGAGCTCCTACAACAAGAATAGACATCCTTAAATTATTAATTTGGTTTTTCAGATCATATAATCATGGGTGTTGCAACAGATTGATAAGCGATGGAAAAAATCTGAATAATACCCATTACACTGAGAAAACAGAAGCCATTATGGTGAACTTCCATAAAGTTTCCACCACTGTATTTATGTCCCTGCCAGAGCCTGTCTCCAAACACTCTGCTTTTCCTCCCGTTACTATAGCTCCAAGACAAAACTTCAACTTTGCTCCCATCCTGTCTTTCCTCCACTGAGTCATTTCCATCAACTTGTCAACATGTCATTATTTTTCTGATCTGAAAAGGAAACAAAATAATTTTCTCTTGACCCACCTCTCCTTACAGCTTATCGTCCCTTTTCCCTGCTTCCGTTTACAGAGTAACTTCTTGCCCTCTCTACTTCCTGAGCCCTCATTCTGATTTTCATTCCAAAGTCCCATCTGCCTCGACCACTCCACTGAGCAATGGCTGAGGTCACAAATGCTCGCCATGTTGCCAATCAGACTCAGTGGTCAATTCTCAGTCCTCCTCTTACTCCCTCTGTCAGCAGCACTGGACCCCAGTGGTTCTTCTTCCCCTTTGAAACTCCATGTTCAAGTGGATTCTAGGCAACAAACTCTGCTTTGCTTCCACCTCACTGGGTTTTCCTTTTTACTGTGCATTGCAGGCCCCCCATCCCCACATCTCCCAAACTCTTCATGCTGAAGTGCTCAAGGGCTTGGTTCTAGGACCGTTATCTTCTGAAAATTCCCTTGGTGATCTCATCAAGGTTCTTCATTTAAGAACCATCAGAGGCTGATGACTCCAGCCCAGGTCTCTCCCCAGAATTCCAACCACTTCTTGACATTTCATAGACATCTCAAACATAACCTGTCCAGACCTAAATTACTGGTCAAATAAAACCAAGCTAAGCACCTCCTTCTCCCTCAACATCTGTTTCTCAGATAGTTTTCATCTTCGTAATTATCTCCATGTATACACTATTGCTTCCCCCTAAGTAGACAATGAACAAGGAAGACCAAAGAACTGATGCCTTTGAATTATGGTATTGGCAAACAATATGAAATATACCATGGACTGCCAGGAGAATGGAAAAGTCTGTCTTAGAAGTAAAGGCAAAATGTTCCTTACAAGTGAGGATAGTGAGCCTTTGTCTCATATCCTTTGGACATGTTACCAGGAGGGACCAGTCCCTGGAGAAAGACGACATGCTTGGTAAAGTAGAGAGTCAGCAAAAAAAAAAAAGAAAAAAAGGAATACCCTCAATGAGGTGGACTGACACAGTGGCTGCAACAATGGGTTCAAGCTAGCAATGAGTGTGAGGACCATGCAGGACTGTGTATAATATTTCATTCTGCTGTACATAAGGTCACTGAGTCAGAACTGACTCAAAGGAATAAAAATAACAACTGGTTCTCAGACTCCACCCTGGGGGTTAAAAACTGATTATGTCACTCTTGTTGCCCAAACGCCAATAACCTCTCCTCTCCTGCAGCAGAAAGGCCAAAGTCCACACAACACCATCAAGGTCTTTCACTCCCTGGCTCCCTTCACCTGTCTGCCCTTCTATACCCCGACTCTCCTCTTGCTCACTCTACTCCAGCCACAATGGCCTTCTGGAATAGCTAGATGCGGTCCCATCTCAGAGCCTCTGTTCTTGTCTTTCTCTTTGTCTGCAACTCTCTCCCCTCATATTTTCATGGTTCACACCTTCAAATGTAACTTCAGAGAGGCTTCCTGGCCAGCCTGCTAAAAATGGCAAATCTTCTTATGCCCACCTTTCCCTGTTCACCTGCCCTATGCTATTTTCCTCTATGGCTTTTATCATATTTAACTTAGTATATCATTTGCTTCTTAATTTTATCTATTATCTGTCTTCCCCAGCTATAACCCCTTGAATATAGGAATTTTAAAAATATCTGTATGTTCTTGTTGTCCCAACTATTCACTCTTTTACATACAATATTAGCTAGCACATAGCAGCTTCTCAATAAATATTTGCTTTATTTTACTATATAGTATAATAATACTAATAGTATAATAATAACAATAATAATAACAACAATAATATAATAATAAACAAAAACCAAATTCACTCTCATTGAGTCTTTTCCAACTCATAGCAACCCCACTTGGATTTCTGAGGCAGTAAATCATTATAGAAGCAAACCACCTCATCTTTCTTCCACAGAGCAGCTGGTAAGTTTGAACCACCAACCTTTTGGTTAGCAGCCAAATGCCTTAGCCACTACACCACCAGAGCTTCTTGTTATAATAATAGTGCTGTCTAATTTGTGGATATTATACAAGGACCGAAATAAAATACTGGGCAGTAACATTAAGTAAGCCACATGGGAAGAAATCCGAGTGAAAGTGTTCTAAGTTTCTCATATTGATCTGGAAAGATGTTAAGATGTTAACTTAGATTTTATTAGCTATGTATGGGAAAAAGTAGAGGGGAAACTGAATGGAAAAAAAATTACTTAGAAAAACAAAGGTTAAAATGGAGAGAGAAAAACAGAAAAAGGGCAAAAATAGATGGCAAAAATTAAGATAATAGAAGGTAATTATATAGAAATCACATTACATTCAAATGGACTAAATTTGATATTAAAAATTCAGAGATTCTCTGATTAGACAAAATTTTAATACCACAATATAGAGCTATATGTTCTTTATAGAAGACAAATCTGAAAAGTAAGGACAGAGAAAGTTTTAAATCAAAAAAGAGTTAAAGTGACCAGGCAAATGTCGTCCAGAAAACAAACCTTGAAGAGTTGTAAGACAAAGTAATTGCCAGGGAATGTGAAGGTCAGTGCATAACAGTGGAAGGGGTCCGGGATATGTGACAATTCTAAAGCTATGGGCACTGAATGAAACAGCCTGAGTATATCTGAAAATTAGAATATAGGACAAATACAAGAGAAGTACGGAAGTGTCACAGCACATTTTTCTCAATCCATCACCTTTAATTTTGTAAAAAATAGTCTGTTTTGTAGATTTGGGTAATTATTTTCTTTGTCTTTTCTTTTCCTACACTGCAGGCTTCAGGTCTATGACTAAAACCTATTTGAAAACATATGCCAGCGTCAGCCTACAAACTGAAACAGCTGCTCAAACTTCGGCGTAAACGTGCTGCACACTTTTCTCCGTGTCTCACGCCCAGAAGCCCGCGAGCCCCGCGTCCACGTGCAGTGCTGCTGCCAGCGGCCCAGAACCTCACCTGGATGTTGAGCTGCTTGTCGTGCAGGGCTCTCTGCAGCTCCAAGAGGCTCCCCTTCAGCGTCCTCAGCTTAACCGCCAGCTGCTCAGCCTCGTCCTTTGTGTGTGCCTTGCCCTCCAGCAGCAGGTTTTCGTTGTGGACTGAGAGCTCCGATAAGGCCACCACCTTCTGCTCTATTTCCACCAGCATGTTCTGGAGCCACAGAAGCAAGGATGAGATTCACACACCCCGCCAGCCTCTGCAGGAATGGTTCCTGCTGCAAGCACAACACTTCTCCCACTTCTACAAACCAAGAGGATTTTTCCTAGTTTCTCTACTGTCTTAAAGTACACAGATTTTTAAAAAATAGTTCTTTGAGGTTCTTAATTTTTCTCTGTTTTTAGGATTAGATATCATTTAATGAAAAATACATTGCAGAAACACACAGAAAGCACATATTCTACAGAAAACAGATCGGGAGAAAAGACCATGGGTTTAGTGCTATCTCAGTATTTTCATGTTAGATTATGACACTTATATGCTTATCATAGGAGCTCTGGTAGCATAGTGCCTAAGGCATGTGACTGCTAACCAGAAGGATGGCAGTTCAAACCCACCAGCCACTCCTTGAAAGGAAAGTTGGGCAATCTACTTCCGTAGTGATTCCACCTTGGCCCCAGAAACCCAAGGAGGGGTTGCTATGAGTCGGATCCGACT